CATCCTGTACAAATCTAAAACCAGAACAACAGGCAAAACTTCGGAGGTTTTTTCTTCGTCAGGAAAGATAACCTTGCAGGTGAGCGTGCCAGTGGAGGTGTAGGTCTCCTCACCTCACTGGATTATCCCTCAAATGTGCTTTCTTTGACGACATCCCTCCAAGTTGTCGCTACTCAAACAAATTTTGATATTTGTTGTTACAGTCGTTTCTCTGTATTTGCCTCCAAATGAGCATATTGATCAGCAAGATTTAAATGGTCTTTTAGAGCAGCTGCCTGAGCCTTTCATCATAATAGGAGATTTTAACGGCCATAGTCCGCTCTGGGGTAGTAAGGATACTAATTGCCGAGGAAGACAAATTGAGCAGATGATCGAAGATCATAGCCTTTGTCTCCTCAATAATGGGCAAGATACTTACTTCCATGAGCCTTCAAAACATTCCATGCTCTCGACCTTGCCATCTGTTCACCATCTCTGTTGCCTTTTTGCACTTTTAATGTGGGTAAAGATCTTTACAACAGTGATCATTATCCCATTCTTGTGTCTCTTGCACGAAGAGGAGCAAACCCCATGTCGAGATCCCCTCGATTCATACTGGACAGGGCAGACTGGGAACTCTTCTCTTCCATTGCAGAGCTCACAGATGAAATGGTAGAAGATGCGCATATCGATGACGCTGTTGAAGCTGTTACTAATACTATTATTCAGGCAGCTATGCTTTCGATTCCTAGAACATCAGGAAAACTACTAAAATATTCAAAACCATGGTGGAATCGCGACTGTCATGAAGCACTGAAAAAACAGAAAAAAGCATGGGGTATTTTTCGTAGATATCCTACTCTGCGAAACCTCATAGCCTTTAAAAGAGCCAAAGCAAATGCACGAAAAGTAAGAAGGCAGAGCCAGAGGGATTCCTGGATTTCATATGTGTCGTCAATAACATCCTCCACGCCTAGCAAGCGGGTTTGGGAAAGAGTTCGAAAAGCATGCGGAATATATAAAGACCACTCACTTTCCTTTTTGGAAAAAGATGGCCGAGTGATTAGCTCCATAGAAGAAATTGCGAATACTATTGGTGAGACATTTGCTTCCGTTTCTTCCAGCAGAAACTATACACCTGCATTTCTTTCTATGAAGCAGCACTCTGAAATAAATCCCATCGCATTCAACTCTTCCAAATCTGAGCCTTACAATAGAGACTTTACTATGCTTGAATTAAGGAGTGCTTTATTGCAGACACATAGGTCTTCTCCGGGTCTTGATGGAGTGAATTATGAAATGCTAAAGCATCTGTCCTGTAAGTCACTGAATGCCCTTCTCACTCTTTACAATAGAGTGTGGAAGGAGCGTACATTTCCCAGTGCATGGAGGAGAGCTGTTGTCATTCCTATTCCTAAGCCAGGGAAAGATCCAAGGAATCCCTCCAACTATCGGCCAATTGCCCTTACGAGTTGCCTCTGCAAACTGTTTGAAAAGATGGTAAACAGCCGCCTAGTCTACTTCTTGGAAAAGAATGATATTATATCGCCTTATCAGAGTGGTTTTCGAAAGGGAAGAACAACTGTAGATAACATGCTCCTCTTAGAGACATCTATTCGAAAAGCATTTGTAAGAAGAAGCCACCTTGTCTCGATATTCTTCGACATTGAAAAAGCTTATGATAAGGCATGGAGATACGGTATACTCCGGGATCTTCACGAGAGTGGCTTGCGCGGCAACCTACCAATTTTCATTCAAAATTTCTTGAACACTAGAACTTTTCAAGTAAGAATTGGCTCTGTTTTTTCGGATGTTTTTGAACAGGAAGAGGGTGTGCCTCAAGGCTGTGTGCTCAGTGTAACCCTGTTTAGTTTAAAAATAAATTCTGTACTAAAAGAACTTCCTCCCACCATCTTGGGATCTCTATATGTTGATGATCTGCAGATTAGCTGTCGAGGAGCAGACATGAGATATGTAGAGAGGCAACTGCAGATGGCTCTGAATAAGATCCAAGAATGGTCAGACAAACAGGGATTTACATTTTCGAAACAGAAAACTGTGTGCGTGCACTTTTGTAGGAAGCGAGGTCTCCATCCTGAACCTGAGTTATATCTTGAATGGTACAATTATTCCAGTTGCGCCTGAAGTAAAATTTTTAGGAGTGACGTTCGACCGAAAATTGACTTTCCTTTCTCATGTTTTAAACCTGAGAAAGAAGTGTCTAAAAACACTAAATATTTTAAAAGTGTTGGCGAACACCTCCTGGGGTGCAGAGCGTTGCTCCATGCTTCGCATTTACAGAGCGCTTATCCGCTCTAAACTGGACTATGGCTCAGTTGTTTATGGATCCGCTCGGTCATCTGTTTTGTTAAAACTGGATCCTGTTCACCATCAAGGTCTGCGGATTTGTTCAGGAGCTTTCAGGACTTCTCCTGTGCAGAGCCTATATGTTGACTGTAACGAACCATCACTTTATCTGAGGCGTGAGCAATTGTCCCTTTTGCAATATTTTAATACTCTATCTCAACCTGAACATCCCAATAAGCTGTGCTTACTTGATAATGAGTGTAACACATTATTTGAAACACGTCCATCCTGTGTTCCTACTTTCCCTTTAAGAGTTCGCCCTGTCATTGAGGAACTCTCCCTCTCTGATATGCACCCCCAAGCAGTACAGAATTTTGAAATTCCACCTTGGGAAAATTCACGGATCCAGCTTCTTGATGTTTTTAAACATCACGTAAAGGCGAGCACTAACGAGATCGTTTACAGACAAATTTTCGCTGAGCACAGGCACAAATATAGCAGTTATTATCCGATATACACAGATGGATCAAAGTCAAATGATCATGTCGGGATGGCTTTTGTATTTGAAAATTACATAGAGGGCAGATGCCTGCACCATGCTTTCTCTGTCCTAACATCTGAACTAACTGCAATATATTATGCTCTTTTGTACATCTCAAAGCTCTGCCACAAAAAGTTCATAGTTTACACAGACTCGTATAGTGCTCTTAAATCCTTGGAAGCTTTTCCCAACGCTCAGAATCCTGTGGTAGTGGATGTTCTCAAAATTCATAGAAATTTAATGATACGAGGATATGAAATCCTGTACTGCTGGGTTCCCGGGCATACGGGAATAAAGGGAAACGAGCTTGCAGACATCGCGGCAAAATCTGCTGTCGAACTGTCCAGTCGCCTTATCCCTTTTAGAGACATCTGCTGTGTCATCAAGGGAAAGATACGAAAAAAATGGCAGCAAATTTGGGATGTTCAGCATCACAACAAGTTGAGAAACATCAAACCTAGAATTGAGCATTGGGATTTTGCTGGAAATCGTAAAGAGGACGTTCTTTTGACTCGACTCAGAATTGGTCACACCAGAGTCACACATAGCTATCTTCTCAAAGCTGAAAATGAGCCTGTTTGTTTTAATTGTAATGTTTGTTTATCTGTTCGTCATATTTTAATTGAGTGTCCATGTTTTAATAGTCTTCGCCAGAAATATTTTAATAGCTGTGACTTACCTCTCGACCGTTTAATCGGAAGAGAGGTCAATTCTAATTTATTTTATTATTTAAAAGAGATTGGCTTTTATTACCAAATGTAATTTGTTTTGAAGACTGTGTCTTGAATGTTAATATGTGCTTTTAACTTGTTTTTATATGACTTCATCCTCTGGATTTGGTACATTTATCTACTTGTTTTTATTTATTGAATTTTAATGTCATCAATTGTAATCATCTCATCTTTTGTTTGGCGCGTCATAATCATCTCTGGTTTTTGCGCCATAATCACTCACTCACTCACTCACTAAATAGGAAAAATTCAGAAAGGAGTTAATTTTTTTTTTTTTTTTTTTTTTTTATAACATTTCAAAATGTTGTGAAAAAATGAATCGACAATTAGAGTTCAACTTATGGCATGACTCTCGGAGGTATGGAAGTAAGATATATCCCTGCTAACAGCAGGGATAGTCCTACAGATGGATAAAATTATAATTAACTAATAACTATAAAATAAATTACAATAATAAACTAAAAATAAAATTAACTAATAACTATAAAAATTAATTAACTGGGATTTAATGATACAGCTTTTTCAAGAGTTTGCTATATTATCTGAAAGAAGGTCAACATGAATTTTCTCCCCTACAAAGAGATTTAACAGATATTTTCCTGACAAAAAACTGAAAATTCCTGTAAAATTAATTTTAATTAAACCTTATCTTGAGCTACTGAGTTGTTTATTCAAATCTTCAATAAATGAAAAGAAATTGATGGTCCTCATGATGGAAAAATACCATAAGTTTTTGTAGCAATACAAAGACTGCCCGAAGACCAGAATACTGTAAATGAATCTTCCAAAAAATTTTTAGACATTATACAACACAAAATCCTAAGTGTGCAGAAAATTTACACCATGGTTATGATAGATTTAAATTTCATTTGACTAAAACTTTAACACACAACAAGAAAACATTTACATGCTACAGGTTTAAATATGAATTATAATTATGAATGATTCAATTAAAATTTCACAAATTTGGCATATGTATCTTTTTAATACATATATATTTAAATTAGCCTTCTTCAACTCATTTTCACCCAAGTGGAATGTTTGGAATAATGTTCAAATCACAAACCCCCTCCACACAGCTTACATGTCCAGAATCCATCATATCTGGATGATCAATAAAGTTGTGTACCTAATAATTAGATAAAAATACTTTTCAGACCAGAAAATGTTTTTCAAACGATTTTACCTTAGCTAACTTATGAGCTGCCTTTCTTAGGTGGCTTCTGAAAAGTCTCCAAAAGAGAACCTACTTAATGCAAGTTAATACAACAAAATAAACAAAAATGTTTTGTAATTTTTTTTAGAGATAAAATATAAAAAGAAGAAGAATACTTATTTAACATTAAAATATCCAAGTTTATTTCAGAAAGTTTACAGATTCTTTAAAATTTTACAGAAATTTTAAATATTCTATTGCTAAGATATGCACAATAAACACTTACAAATGCAAGGGCTCCCAGCAAATAGAAGTTATCCAGCCTTTGTGACCAGTAAGAGTTCGTCCTAATTGTTTGCCTGACACAGGATCCCAGATAAAAATCTATGGCAGAGTAAAACACATAACTTAATAATTGTTGAAATCCCATTCTTTAATAGTCAAAATAAGTCTTAATCCAGACATGAAATAATCCAAAGAACTAAATATTATAGAGTGACGAGAGTCTTGCACGCTTTTATGAATGAACAAGCATAATTTAATACTCCAAATGGTTAGGTTTATATATTTCTTCCCTCATTATCAAAGTATTAATGGATATTCAGGAGATATGGGAAAAAGGTGCACTTTCTGATAATGAACAGTATCAGCTTGTAACAAAAGTAGAGTAATATTTAATGCAAGTATTAAATTTATTATTTAATGTAATAATTCAAAACTGGATTGATTGCCTTAAAATCAGTCAGATTCTTGAATAAAACATAAAATTGCACATAATTTTAAAGAAAAATATTATATTTATATTTAAAAGCACCAAAATAAATATCAAAATTGGCTTAACTTTATTACCTGACAATTTTTGCATCCTGAAGCTAATTTCATCCCATTAGGTGACCATGCAATACATAACACCCAATGTCTATGGCCTAAAATTAGAAATTAAATGTCATATCACTGATGCTTAATAAAATAAATATTATACAGCTTTATATTAATTTCATACCTTTGCAAGTGTACTGAGGAGTTTCTGTATTTACATCCCATAATCGAACAGTTGTATCACCAGAGCCACTAGCAAGATATCTGGAGAAAAGAATTTCAAAATTTAGTGATGATAATAATAACATAATCTGCATTTTTTTAAACTGAAAAATTGTTATTTCTAATAAAATACAAATATATTCTTGTATGGGAAGACTATGCAGATCTAATTGTGCAAATTAAGAATGAATAAATTACAGACATTACAAAAACATGTCTAGAATTTTGATTACTTAACAATTTTATAATAATTTGTCAATTCACGCTCTCTTCTAAATTTGATAACAATAATAATGGTAGTACTAGTAATAGTAATTTTTTTCAGATAATTTTATTTTGTACTTTGTTATAGTTGCCCTTAACCATATTTGGCGATTTTAAATTTGTGCCAAGATCTCTTCATCAAGCTAATAAAGCGCAAATGTAAAAATAAACAACACAATATACACTGAAGAGCCATTACATTATGACCTCCCTCCATCTATAACAATGGGCTCACCCAGGAACAAACCACTGCAGGTGTGTGGCTGATGTTGAAGTATATAAAGTGGCTATGCCTTGTCTTTACTGGATGTATTGAGTACCAGCGTAGACTTGACAGAATTAATGGAATAATTAATAGAAAACATAAGCTGAGAAAACACCCACAGAAAATTCCGAATCAATCCAGAAACTAGATTCCAGTTCAAAATACAGAAAACTTCTCTTTCCTGAACTTTTTGAAGCCTAATGTTGCTTATACCACCAAAAAATCTAGCTACAGCAATATCCTTTGGAATAAAAGAGCAGTAAATCAAAATAATGCTTTTCAATCTTTCAGTTTATATCCCAAGATGCAGGAATACTAGTTCATCTACAAAAACTTATGTCCCTTATTCAAAAATTACGAAACTCCAAAATCATGCCTGAAAAACTGATGATAGGTTTCTAAGCCATTTAATATTTGATGCAAATTGACGAATCAGAAGATTAACTTTTAACCTTTTCGCGACAGCACACCTTTGTTTAAGATGCTCGTGCAGGACGGAATAGAATCGAAGGCAGTAACCGTACAGGACGGAGGTTTTGCATCGCTAAGCCTAATTTTATGACAAAAATCAGAAAAACAAAAGTTTCGCTTCTAGCATCGTAATTTTTGGTGTCATTTTAGATTATTACTTGAGCTCTTATATATGTTAAAATTAGCCCTTAAAACATTTTTTTCTTTATTTTACATGCAAATATACTTAAAAAATCGCTTATCTTGTAAAATAATTTTCAGAAGCGCTGTTTAAATTATTCCAAAGTTTTAATTGATAAAATCCATCACTAAAGTTTAAAATTAATAAAAAGAACACAATAACGATTATTTACAGTAAGAAGTAACAAAATTTAAAATGAAAACGAGTGTGGTAAATCTCGAAGCACAGAGAAGTATCACTTTGTAACTCTTAGAAAAAGTATTACTTTTTAACTCTAATAAGACCGTACATAGTAGAGGAAAGAATAGAATAAAAAAAGGAATTGTATATAAATCAGATACGAGAATGTTTTCATTAGCATGCAGCGATTTAAAGAGCCCACCTCTGTTTACGCTTTCCCTTCGCCCCCCCCCCCCATTCTCGAAAAGCTGATGAGTAAAGTACCAAAGTCAAGCCGAATATATCAAACTCAAGGTCAGGAACCTAAAACTGTGTTAATTTCAAAAGTAATGGACACAGAATGCCATCTAGTAGCCTTCAGAAAAACGTTCCAGCTTAAAATGCGTATACGCATCACCCGTCCTCTGAATGCAATCTCTAGTGATGCGTGGATGGGACGCCCGGCTGTAAGAGATGTTCCAAGGGAATGGGTATATGGGACGCCCGTCCTGAAAGGTTTAATAGATGCCGAATTTCCAAACCTTCACTTTTTTTTCGCAAACTCAATTTTCAACCAGCTTCTCTTGGGGTTACATCTTGGGAATGTGGCTTCCAATGTGACTTGCTCCAACGAATTGCAACTTTACTCATCCTCCTCTTCGACTCCAGCTCAATGGCTAAGCTCTGCTTACTTCATTTCTCCCACTTTTAGTGCTAGCAGTAGCTTTGCCTTGGTGGCGCTGTGGTTATCACCTTGTTTTTACAAATTACCATCGCCTAAGGGCACATTTTCCATGTCAAGCAGTAAAAGCAGGACTCTGTTACATGCTGCTGTAATGAAGAACCAATCTCATCTGATTCGTCTTTCCAAACATAATGGGAAAAGCAGCTGATTTCTCAGACTTCGATAAAGGTTAAATTGCTATGGCTTGCTGACTGGGAACATCAATATCAAAAACGGCATGTTTAGTGGGCAGTTCACATGAGTTGTGAGCACACATCAAACGTAGTGTATGAATGGTGAAATGACAAGTCGTGGGCCAGCAGTGTGTCATCGATGGCGCATTGATTCCAGAGGAGAACAGAGATTGCTATGCATTGTTCATCACAACCAAAGAGCTACAACAGTGGTGACCCAGATGATGTGGAGTTTTTCAACATACTGTGCAGCATAAATTGCTGCATATGGGTCTATGCAGTCGGAGGCCGAAGCATGTTCCAGCATTGATGGAGTCAGTCAGACGGATTGTCAGCTGCATCTACAATAGGCCAAAAAACATCAGAATTGGACATTAGAAGAATGGAAGAAAGTTGTATGATCCAAAAAAATCACATTTTCTGATCCATCACATTGACAGGCATGTGCTCATATGCCATTTCCAAATGAAACCCTGGCTCCCGGATGCACAGTTAGATGGAGACAAGATGGTGGCTAGGGTATTATGGTGTGGGCAGTCTTTTTAAGGAGCCCATTAGGAACCAAATATCCACACAGAAAATTCCCTGACGTCTGCATGCTATGCGAAGATCATTGTAGACCAGATTCACCCATTCATGACAACAGTATTTCTGGCGGAAGATGGTGTTTACCAACAGGATAATGCACCATGTCATAAGGTTCGAGGAACATTACAGTGACTTTCAAGTCATGTCTTGGCCTCTAAATTCACCTGACATTAATTGAATAAAGCACTTGTGGTCCCACCTGGAAAACCAAATTCGTGCTGTCCGGATACCTCAGACTACCTATCAGCACCTTATGGAGTCAATGCCACGCTGGGTGCTGGCAGTTTTGAAAGCTAAAGGTGGTCCTACATGTTATTAACAGGTTGGTCATAATGTAATGGCCCTTCGGTGTATAACATTCTTAGGAAACAACTCACATTTTGTTTCCTAAGAATATTTTTAAGAATCCTTAATCTTATTATTATCATTTTAACACATCTAATTGTTCCAGTCAGATGCACCATTTTCCTTCATATTGAGCTGTTTGCTACATCATTTCATGCACGTCAACTCCTCTGCCCAAGAATAAATAAATATATTAGCAATGTTGAACGATATTTTGGAGCCACTGAGCCAATTTTTTCCAACACAGAGGTTCTTCTTTTTTCAATTTTATCGATTTCACCTCCTAACGGTTTCATCATTAAAATAAAGTTTTACGTTGTGGACATTTTCACATACTTGTTTGTGAGATAAAAACCTCTTTATTGAAAAAATGATTTGGCATCCACCTCATTACTCAGTAAATTAAAGACTGTTAATTATCTCGGTTGATGGGCGATTCAGTTTCGGGAGCTGTTATAACAAAGTATCTTTATTTTTATCCAAGTAATATCTAAAAGTCTCAGTTTTATAAAGGAAATACATAGCACTAAGCTTGGTAAAGTATTTTTTTGAAATTCAAATATACTTTTTATACATGAATGCAATCATGCATTAAACTTACACCTGTTTCATGTTTATGGAGTAGCATGGTAAGCTTGTTTCTGAGATGATTTTGAAACAATACACAAAGGCAAATAAAAGAAATTATCATCACTTTTAGAAATTAAATATATTTTTTTATGTTTCTTTATTTGCTTTAATTGAGGAAAAAATTAGCCACTATGGTATAATATTCAGTAACTACAATTAAATAAATGTACAGTACAAAGTCCGTAATCCAGACTTGTTGGGACTTCGGTGATTCCGGATTAGGGGTTTTCTGGATTACAGATCACAATTTAATTCTGGTAAGATGGCATGCAGAAATTATACAATTAAAAATATGAAACTGTAATTTATGAAATAAAGAGAATTATGATCTAAAGAGTATCAAAATTTACAAAAAAAAAAAAAAAAAAAAAAAAAGAGCTTAATATTTATTTGTTTACTTTAGTAAACATTTCTGTCAATGTAAGTTGTTTAAGTTGCTTCGTTTTTTGTGCTAATACTTTCTCTTTAATTCTATAAACAGACATAATTTCCTGTTCAGTTACAAAGTTCCACTGTTCAAGTCCTGTAATTGCTATGTCGAGAATACTGACTAACTTGTCAATTGAAATTTTTTTGTTTTCAATAACGTTCTCTGTTACTTTCTTCACTATCGGAAGCACGCATCAAACGCACATGCGTAAGTTTGTGGCTTTGAGGTTCGGATTATAAATCATTCCGGATAATGGACGTCCGGATTAGAGACTTTGTACTGTATAAGCTATTTGATCTTTACTTAATAGTACAGTATAAGCTATTTGATCTTTACTTAATACATTACACTTATTAACTCTGAGTTGCTATATAGTTTGGTTAGTAACTATAATCTCAATAAAACTTATTAAAGTAACTAAAAGTAATGTCTGGATAAAAATTTATTACAAAAAGAAAATGAAATAACAAAGTTTTAAGTCTCAATAAGCAAAGAAATAAAATGCTAATATAGATATATTGTACATATTGTTTAACAAAACAACAATAGTTCAAATATCAGGCATAATCCATGCTCATTATACAGAAGTACTGATGAAGTAAAGAGTATAGCCACCAGTGTATCAACAGAAATACAATAGCGAATAAGTAAGCTTACATTTTAAACAATAAAGAGGCAAAACAAAAAGAACAAGATCAGGAAACTAACGTAAAAGTAGGAAATTGGAAATCACCAAAGATATTCGCAAAACCACCCCAAAGCTCAGAGCTGATGGAAATTGAAAAGAAAAATTGCTTTGAAAGATTAGATCTTGAAACTAACGTTGCAGAAGGAGGAGCAAAATCAGAAGAAACTCTTCTCCCCATAGTATTTCAGCAAGGACAAATCGACTGGATTAAAGTTGAAGGAAATCTAAAAGAAAACTGCATTGACGAATTTGAAGGACAAATGAAGGGTCAAGCTATCTTCGTTCAGTTGAAGGATGCAGAAGAATACCATATGAAAAGAAAGAAATACCATACGAAGAAAGGCTTAACAAGCGAAGGGTACCTTTCCACACCTACCAACTAAGCTGGGAAAAACCAATTAAAGTAGGCCTAAAAAATTTACCTGATAAAACCCCAGAAGAGACAATCTTTGAAGATTTACAAGGAGGGAAATTTCGGATCGCAAAAGTTAAACAATTCCGAAGATCTCGCAAAAACAATTTCTAGAAACTCCCAACCTGGCTGCTAGAATTAAAGGAGAATGCAAATGGACAGGCGATCTACAACATCAATAATATGTTAAGCATAGAAAAATGGAATTCCAAGAAAAGACCTACGCAGTGTTTTAAGTGCCAGGAGTGGGGGCACTCCCAGCACCTATGCACAAACCCAGAAAAATGCTGTAACTGTGGTGGACCGCACAGAAGCAATGTTTGCATGTTAAAAGAAGAAGAAAAACCCACCTGCATTTTCTGCAAAGAACCTCAAAGTTATCGTGGATGCACTGAATACCGACGCAAATTTGAGAAAAAACCAGTGCAGAAACTTAAAACCCCCATTCCAAAAGCAGAAGACTTTCCGCAATTAATTACAGCTGAAACAACTGTAGAAAAACCTGGTAGAAAACTCTACAGTGAAAAAGCACGGTCAAGAAAAGCCTCAATCCCAAATGAATTCAATGAAGCAGTTTCATGGCTACGAGATGAAAAAGTTAAAAAATTGTTAGGAACCATCATCGAACATATTGATCGTATCAAAAAGCAATGTGCCTCGTCCAAATTGCAGAAGATGAAAACTAGACGTGTCTCTCAAATATGTATGCAGAATATTACAAGACTTTATTTTATTTTCACAAAAATTTCACTTAATTCACAGCTCACTGTTTTCAAGCAGCATCTCACGAGGTTAGTTCTTGGAAGGGTGACCTCCCATGTAACTGGCTCCGATGAATAACCTTTCAAAATCTACAGAGAGGATTTTTGCCACTAGCGAAAGGACTTCTCCTCACTTCAATGCAGTAAACAGAATGCTTGACCTCGAGGCTTTGCCCTCTCGACCATCCTTCGTCTTCGGACGCGGTGCTCATGCACCCTTGATTTATTTTAAAATTCACGAGCGGCCAATGGCCTACTTGAGTTATTGGTGAAAACTCTTTCGTAGTTGGTACCATTAGTGAAATTGACGATTCAAGATTCATTAATATTTATTTATTTTAAATGTTAGTAGTATGATACTTGGTACTTACCTACCATCAGGACTAAATGAGGCAGAAATAACAGCTTCTGCATGGCCAGGTAAAGAACTTGTGCAACGAGTCACAGGTCGAACTCGAAATACAGACTGTTCAGCATACACAATTTCCAAAATATTTTCACCTTCAATAGTTTTTTTATCTACAGTAGTATGAAGAGAGTCTCTAATTTGTATATCATTTACAAAAAATAAAAATGGAACTGGTGTTTCCTGAAAAAATTTCAAGCTATATAATAAAGTTCCTTTTCAATTACACAAGTTCATATAAACACAGTAAATGTTATAAGAGATAATCCACAAAACATGACATCCAGGCAACTTTATATAAAATTAAAAAAAAAAAAAAAAAAGTCGATTGCTGGCCATCAAATGCAACACCAAGAAGAATCCAAAGAGCACGAAATTTGCACCATTGTTTTTTATACAGCAATGGAATATGTAAATGATTACGATTTAATGGACATGTATATTGTAGATGGCTGCAGCATTTCTTACAATCCGTAAATAAATGAAGGAAAGAGCGCTGTTTTCAATAATGTGACTATTTCATTGTGAGTTTTTTTGGGCGTGCAGCTTCAGTATGCCTCATAGAAAAACAAGGGCATCATTTAAATAAACATGTTTCTGAGTTTGACTAAGGTAGAAGCATTGCATACACAGATCGTGGATTATCCTTAAGGGAAACCGGTTATCGCAGACGTAGCTGAGCAAGTCATGTGAATATGGAATCGGTGAACGCAGGAGGGAACGACTGCAGACAGGAGCAATTGCAACTGCCTTATCACACCATTCCATGGAAAGACAAGCATACTGTGCACATAGCATTGATGGAGCGCACTGCCATATTTATATTACAGTGAATGCAATCTGTAACACAACAACCAGTGTCTGCTAGGCATCCATTGCTTCACTTACGTTTAAACCACAGGTATTTGTGTTCACTCTGGGGCACTGAATGGTGAAAATGGACATCCAAATGGCATGACATGTTTTTAGACGAATCACTCTCTTGCCTGCAGTACCATGATGGTCGTTAAAGTTTGGACAAAGGCTGCTTGTCTATTGCATTCTGCTGTGTCATAGTGGTCCTGCATCCAGTGTTACAATGTGGTGGGGGTATTACATTCCACTCCAGCAGCCTATCTGGCTAGTATGCATTATTGGTACATTTACCAGCCCTTTGAGGATTTGTAGCCTGTTCTCTTTCCTCAATTTCAGGGATTACCAGCAGCCATATTTCAACAGGATAAATGCATGACCACATACTGCATGCAATGCTCAAGCTTTCTTCTTAGCCACTATATCGCATTATTATTCTGGCCTACCCTTTCTCCATATCTGTCACACATCGAACAAGTCTGGTCAATGACTAGAGAATGCCTAGTCATACCTACAGGTACACCAAATAATTTTGGCTATGTGTGGGACTAGCATGGGCTGCCATTCCCCAAAAAATGTATTCAAAGCCTCTTTTATTCAATACCACTGCGTATAGCAGTGGCTATATGGAGGCAGCACTCAGTACTGATTTTTTTCGTCTTCCTCTTCTCAAAGAAGGCTGTACTCCAAATCAGTTAGCATTGTTATTATGTGTAATCTCTGAAGTAAATTTGGATTTGATATCTCTTGTCCTCCTTCAGGATGCATTTTGAATGGCTACCAGTATGCATTAATTTGCAAAATATCCTGACATCAAACATAATCATGGTCAGTATCTGCATGAAATTTTGGCAACTTTGTGGCCCACTCAAATTAATGCTTTCCAATAGTACCTTGAAGGATTTACAGGGCAGTTTTCTACTGTGGCCAGTATTTAAATCCCATAGTGCATTTCTGGAAATATATTTTTATGTCAGTTACTTTATTGCTATCCATATCTTTTCTATTGTGCTAAGCATTTTGATTTTTTAAGTCTTTAGAAAATCATTAGAAAGAGGGCTATATACCTTCCTCCTATTCAGAATCTTTTTTTACTTTGCTTAACTAGCTAATTTCCACATGTTACTATTTAAATTCTAGATCTTAAAGTTGAAAATAAAACATTTCTTACTGAATGTTCATAGAACATATCATGCTTACCTCAGTTCACAAAGACTTCAGTAGAGTTTGTATGACTCAATTCCAAGAGGTAATGCATAGAGCTTAATGTATGAAGTATGTTAAAAATTTAAAACATAAAACTACACAATTTATTTTAGTTATGATACAGCATTTTTTTTGTTTGTTTAACATATAAAGCATTAAAAATCTAATAAAATGTTAAAAAAAAATAAACTATCTTACTTTTTGAAGAAGAGAATTGCAAATCATTGTTAATTTGCCAACATCAGTATTAACTGGCAAATCAAGTGGAGCACCTGTTGCTTCACCAGCCTCATTTTTAAATTGTACCGAAATAACAGTACTTTCCTCCATTTTGTCAACTTCCTAAGAAAATTTTCCTACTTTAATACATTTCCACAATTATTCAAAATAAAAGAAACTTTTTATACATTTTCTACATACTGAAACAAATTTTTTTTCTTTCTTTTTTTTTTTTTTTGTATTTTTCCGTTATGCACCTAAAACTCTTTTTGGCATCTGTGAAAGAGAAACTAGATACGCAGGCCGAATGATGGTGCCATCAGGGCTATAGTTTTGTGTATGTGTCTGTATCTACAAACTATTCTAGTAATTAGAAATTGTTTATTAAAAAAACCTGCCAAAATGCACAGCAGGTGCATAACGGAAAAAGTAGCCTCCCTTTTTTTAAGAAGCATTGGGGGGGGGGGAGAGGGAAATCACTACATAATAAAGTTTATGCTCAGAGGTCAATATTAATATACAGCAAATATGAGTCATTAATGATATTCGCTGTTAATAATTATATAAGGAGTTTTTATTTTATATTAATTATAAAATAAAAACTTCTTATAAAATTTCATACTAATGTCAAATTTTATATTTCTGAATAATCCATGATGATGCATCACCCCATCTTAAAATAAAGCATCTGGAGATGTGAAACATTAATTAATGCATTAATGATCACTAAGATAAATTTAATACTAGTGATCCCTTGGATAATTTTAATAACATATACTGTCAAAAGTCGTTAATTCGGACTCGTCGGGACTTTGGCGATTCCGGATTATCGATTTTTTTTGGATTATAGAATCATCAGTTTAAATCTGGTACGATGGCATGAAGAAATTACAAAATTAAAAATATAAAACCATAATTTATGAAATAAAGAACAATTATGATCTAAAGGGTATCAAAATTTACAAAAAGAAAAAGCTTAATATTTATTTGTTTACTTTATTAAACATTTCTTTCAATGTAAGTTGTTTCGTTTCATGTGATAATACTTTCTCTTTATTAAACAGACATAATTACTACAAAGTTCGTCACAGTTACAAAGTTCCGCTGTTCAAGTCCTATAATTGCTGCGTCGAGAATACCGACTAATTTGTCAATCGAAATTTTTAGTTTTCAACAACCTCTGTGTCACTTTCTTCACTATCGGAAGCGAATTATAATAACGAGGAACTTGATTTAAATCATATCAAAGACGGAGTACATCGAGATGAAATACTACATTTAGTAAGGAATTATAAGCCAAATAAAAACATCTGCCCTGAAGATAAGGACATACTTGCCAACCTATGACACTCAAAAATCAGGAGATTTTTCACAATGTTAAAAAGACTTTTTAAATGATAAAAATATAGTTTTTAATAATGAATTAACTTTAATAGTACTAAGTCTTAAATGCAAGCAAAACAAAAATACCTTAGACATAAAAAACATTTTTATTTTTATTACTTTCATCGTTTAAAAAAAAAAAAAAAAAAGGCACTTTAATCAGTTTTTTTTTACAAATGTTATGGACAGTGGCAGATTTTTGCTCTCGTTAAGAAAGAAACTTCATAATTTTGTTCATAGCATTGCCACGTAGGCCTGCTTTCGCTAATAAAAGTTTTTCTAATGTGTCATCACTAATATTAGATCTAAATTTAGTCCTCGTTTTCGCCAACAACACTGAAAATCCTCTCACACTGCATTACTATGGGGAACTGTCAAGATGGCCAACATAATTCTAGAGAGTTCACTATATTTTAAAAATTCATCAGCAAACCTTTCAATTTTCCAATTATCCTCCACTGGGGGGTGTCAATCCTAGCTGATTTTATAACTTCATCCAAGTTTTTTTCTAATTGTAAACTGCAAAATTGCGACTGCAGTATATCAGTAGCAACATCAATATCATCATCTTTCATGACTAAACGAAGTAACACAGGAAATCTGTTCAAAAAGTACCTTTATATAAAAAAAAGATGCATTTGCTAGAGCAGAAACATCAGCAACTTTAGCATGCAAAATCACTTCATCATCGTTGACTGGAAATTTATGTAGGTGTAATCACATACTCGACAGAAGTAACTTCTAACATGAAGATAAAACTTATTTTTTGTCTTCTTCTGAAAGTTCTTCCACTACTTTTGTGCAGTTGCAGCTCCTATTACCAAATCTTCATCTTCCCTTCTGATTTTCTGTTTCACCATAAATCACATCATATATAGAATTACAAGACAAAAACACAGACTGGTTTTACAAACTTGATAAAATGTCTTTAAAAACAGATCATAAATCATTGATTGCAAAACATGAATTAATGGAATTCTGCTTTGTATAATTGTGTTCAGAACATCGAATGATGGCAAAATGAACTGTAAAAAAAAAAAAAAGCAAAAAGCTTTGTTAAGGTCCGAAGAAATAAAAATAAATATTCGTTCTTCACAAGATAAACTTACAGTAATCGGAAAATGTTTCGTGTGTTGAGCAATTTTTTTTTTTTTTTTTTTTTTTTTTATTTTGAGAGAAATTTGTATCAGCTTTACGCTTATATTTTGCAGTATTATTTTAAAAACTGCCAGTTGAATTGCTAAATGATGCAGAAATTACAAAAAATTAAAATTTTTCTCATTTCAGTATTATGCAGCTGTTGGAACTGTTTCAATTTTTCCTTTCTTTTAGAACTCCTTTCAAGATAATAATAAATATCAACAATGTGTCCATCCACATTTAATGGTAAAGAATCTGCCCCTTTTTCAGCTGCTAAATTTAACAGGTGCACCTCATAATCTGCAAATCTGAATTTGCCTTTCTTAAGATGCCTGCAACACCAGTCTTCAAGCCTACCATTACTGGTGCATTATCGGCACCAAGCGCTAAGCAATTATCCAGAGGGACTGCATTTTATTTTAAAGTTTTAATAATTAGCTGTGCTATATTAAAGCCTGTCGAATGTCCTTCTAAAGTGGGGTCAGAAAGTAAACTGCACTCAATTTCTGAAGACTCTGGATTAAAAAAATAAACAACAATTGGATACAGTTTTGAATTGGTATTATTGCTTCCATCCGTAGAGAGGCAGAACGAAGCTGTTTTAATGCAATCAATAACTGAAGATTTATTTTTCAAACCCATTTCTTTAACAACTGCACCTGTTTTGGTCCTTGCACTTGAGTATTTCTTAGCGATTTCACTATCGGGAAACATTTTTCTAAATAAAGCTGCAGCGTGATCCGATGCATTCAGTGTCAGGTTGTGCTCCAGTAAAAAGGCAGAGAACAGACATTCTGCATTAATCACTTTTTGGTCTTTTGTTTCCGAAGAAAAAAATTTAATTTTTCGTTTTTTCAAACAAACTCATGTTGTCCTTGTGTTTTTTTGTGTACGCAACATGTTTGAGAACATCTGCCCTTCCACCAAGAGAAATCGAAAATCGCAAACGACAGATGGTACACATCGCAAATTTATTACATTTTTCTTGAAGAAATAATGGAAGGAAAGTCAACTGTGTTACAATTTTTGAAACGTGCACGAGTATTTCACCTTTCTCGCAGACATATCGAAAGACGATAATTTCTAAAACTATTTCCTAAAGGCACGTGTACTCACACAACTCAGGACAAGATAAACGAAATAGCGAAAAGAACATCCAAAGAACGGCCAACGGCCTTGAGCTTGCTTTGTGCTCATTGGCTAATATATGCCAGATGACACGCAGTGGAGCTCGATGGATGCCCATTGGACAACTGGAGAACGACGTTTCTGGATACGTATGCTGTCAATCACAAAGCAGAATTCTCATCTGATTCGCAAGGTTTCATTTTAGATATAATCTAGAGAAAATTTAATTGCTTTCAGACGTCTAAAATCACTTTTTTTTTTTTTTTTTTTTTTTGTTCATATAACGAAGTATTAAGCCAAGTTCCATAAAAATCGTGAGAAATATTGAGAATAAGAAAAAGTCGGGAGAAATATACTGTAAATCGGGTTGGCGGGAGAGCGGTCGAAAATCGGGAGTCTCCCGCCTAAATCGGGAGAGTTGGCAACTCTGTAAGGATAGTGCTGACAGATCAACTTCCAATTCATTTCAAGCCGCGTCGTTTCCCTCCCCCCGCAGAGCAGCGTGAAATTGATAAACATATTTCGGAATGATTAGATAATCAAAGGATATGCCTTTATCCATTTTTTGCAGCAATTCCACTTTCTGTTTAATGGACTTCGAAACATACTTTCGCTTTGTAGATCCTTTACATATTAGTAAATATATATCGGAAATTCTATTTGACATAATCGAAAGTTCAATCTTACTTTTATGAAATTGCTCTAACAGTCTGCAAAAAATAATAAGCCGGATCCAATTGAAAGATTAAGGAACAACGCAATCTGCAACATTAACTGAATTAGATAATTTTAGCTTAGCTTATACCGTCCGTTATACATTAAACATAAATGTATTATGCAAATGCGCACACACATATTCGCAGCTGTAAAGGTCTTACGCGCACGCGTAAACGCCTATGTGCATGCGTCAACGCGACGCATGCGCAGAAAGTTTGTAGCTTTGAGGTCCGGATTATGGGTGTCCGAATTAACGACTTTTGACTGTATTAGTTGTAGAATTCATTATTCTGTTTATATTGTACAGACAGAAATCTACAAATGCATGCATATTATGCAAACATTTTCAATTCAAGTAAAACTAGTATTTTGAAAAGCAAGTACAGACATTTGGTAAAAGTAATACTGATGCTACTCAAATTCAAAATGTTATTTACTTTGTTCTTTTGTTATAAATAATTCAAAAAGTCTCCTTTTCTGTTCATGGGTAAGTTAAGTACTACATATAACTCTTTCAACTAGTTAACATGTTTGCTGCCCAAGCTGATATAATAAACCTCTTCACACACACCAAAATCCTATCCACATTGCTATGCTTTTAAATTATTTTCTGTTGTTTTAATATTTAAATATAGATATAACAGAATACTTTTAATAAATAAATTTACACAAGTATACTCATAGTTAGTATTTGAAATAATATTTTTGCTCTCTGTGCCAACTACAAGAAAACACAGAACTAGATAAAAATACCT